TGTGTGTGCGAACAGCAGATGACAGATGTGTATCCCCTGCCTCACTGCCTTTTTATCCTTCAGTGTAAGCTGATGCCCCTCATATATTACTAACCAGCCATTTGTTCTCTACGGGGCACCTCAGTTTCTCAGTCTCTCTCTACCCACCGTCTCTCCTCTTCCCTGTCTACTCTAATTTGCCTCCTCCTTTCTACCTGTCAGCCTGATTTCCCCCTCAAATAATAAAAATTAAACAGTATGAAACAGTAAACAGCCTGGGTTGTAAGTTAAAGTGGCAGATGAACATGATGAGATTTCCCCAGATGAAATGAGTGAAATCTTTTAAGGTCGTGCTAATTTAAAGTTTCTCTCAAGTGCAGTGAATTCTTCCAAAATAAATATTGATTAAAGCAAATTCTTCCAAGTGTTTGCACAAAGATGGAATGAATTTTGTTGCCACTCTGTTACCAGTTTCCAAATTAAATAATGCATTAAAGCAATCCTCTGTTTCACTGATGAAGAGTCACATTCACAGAAATTCAAATTCTCTGCTCTTTATTTCAAAAGGTCACAGGCATATTTTCACACCCATTAAAGTGGCTCACGAGACAGTTAGCGTTCTCAAGCATACAGGCGCCCATATCATATCCTGCAAGTATCTACTCATGTTCACCTTCAAAACTTTACCTGTGTATTTTTATTCTCTCATTGATATGTACTTGTCTTCCTATAAGCGCTCACAGAATCTTCTTTAAGGATACACTTTTGCTCTCATCTTTCAAAGTTTCTTGTAAAGAAATATATAATCACTGGAATGACTTTGTGCACGAGCAAGTGAATAAATCCATCTAATGCCAGCTTCCTCTCAAGCTGATGAAAAGCTCCACTGAGAACTGTGCAAGGGGAATTGGGGTGAAGCATTCAAGGTGCGGAGCTCATAAAAAAGACTTAAAACTTTAAAATTCAGACAATATCACAGGTAGTCACAGAAAAAAAAGAGAGAAAAGTTTAAATCCTTTCAGTTTTATCATCATCAAGCACGTCTTTATTTAAACTCGGGGCGTTTCAATCAATAACTCCTTTATTTATTATTCAAATGCAGTCCATCTAAATTTGGCAGTCACAATAAGCAGGTACAGGTTGCCAAGAGCGGCAGAGAAAAAACTGTCCCCATTAAGAACAAAGTTGACTAAGAAAAAACTGAGAGAGAAGTGGCTTTGACTGTTAATGACCAAAGCAGTGATCCGCAGTCAAACCAGACTTGAGCTTGCAGAAAATGACTGTCATTGTTTTCAGTACATACAGAATCACAACCCAGCAACTGTCTCCATGGTACAAACATGGATGTTGCTTAGGACATGTTTTCCACAACTCCATGTGGACACTGACACCACTTTACACAGTTTAGACAATCTAACCCTGATGTCGGTCTGCCCCCACACACTCACGCATCCTAGAGTTACCATAAAATATACATGCTGAGGCCGTGACTCAGTGGGACACCTGGACAAGCCTAACTGTGGGATGCTCGCTGTGTGTGTCTATCTGGTTGGATACAGAATGAGAAGACACACTGAGAAGACAAAGTGCATTAATGTATTGATCTTGTATTATTGTCACTCAAGTAAAAGTAAAATTTGACATTCCTTAATAACAAACATAGTATTTTAATTATTGAGTTTTAGAGCCAAGCTTTGGATAACACCACGTTTCTCCATTTCCATTCTTTATTTACATTTCCAGTCAACCTTTATATCCATCTAGATATATGTGGGGCATAGCAGAGAACCATAGATCTGTTGGGAAAATAATGAAGCCTAGATGACCTGAAAGACACTAAATGTAAGAAATTAAGAGTTTTGATGGGACAATCAGCTACGTCAGTGAGTTTGT